CCAAGATCAGTCACATTGGTATGCAAGCTTCTTCACAGTGTAAATTGTAGATCCAAGCTTGTTCAAAACATTGCACCCAGGGGTAGGGAAGGGCCATATTAGAGGCTTAGTTTGATATTACAAATAAACGAAAAATCTTTTTTCTTTATTTCAAGAACAGGACTTCAGTTAGTCATTTTAATACACAAGCATTTCCAGGTATTACGAACTCGGATTTTTTTTTCAATTCCTGGCACTTGGGGTTGGGAAAGTTTGTGGTCAAAGTCATGCATAGAAAAAAATTATGACAAGTGTAAATTTTAGTCTAGCCTTAATTAGTAAATTAAGAAGTAAATCAGTCATCTCTGTATGAATAAGAAGGCTATAGATTGTCAAACTGACAGTAAGCCTGAAGAAACTGTAAATTAGATAGATTGATATCATGAAGTTTAATTTGGACTCTACAATATTTACATGTGTAGTTTACTACATGAGATTTGTTTACTCGGGTGAGCATTGTTGCCCATTAGTCTATTGTTTCAAATTAATCAAAGAACAAGGTATGGTTTCAATACAAATCTTGCCCTGTATTTTTTTTTAAAAATGAAGGTGATGTAAAAAAAAAAAAAAAAAAATTAAAATCATGCTTTCTGAATCATTAAAATTCCATGCAGAAAGATCATACAAATAATTTTTCTCACATGACCTTCTAAATGCTAATTGTGACCGGCTTCATAAACTTGTGCATTTTCCCGTATTTTCTTTAAAAGTTGCAGAAGACACCAATTCTCTATGTAATTTTCTTTCAGATAATATTGACCACAGGCATCGCCCACAAAGATTTTGAGATATGTGATTTTTTAAAGAATTTTACACAACATATTCGAAAATTAAAGTGGGCTACGGCTATGGACACTATTTTCTTAAGGAAATAACCCTTCAAATAGGTCATTTTGAGGCCTTTTCTGTTTAAAATAGAGAAATGCATCAAATTAATGACGTCATATTTCCAGAATGGTACCCCTTCATGCCAAATTCTTTCCTGATTTATTGCAGTCATATACTCAATTATGTAATATTTAAGCCAGTTTCAAAACTTTTTGATTGTTGCCCATTAGTCTATTGTTTCAAATTAATCAAAGAACAAGGTACGGTTTCAATACAAATCTTGCCCTGTGTTTTTCTTAAAAATGAAAGTGATGTAAAAAAAATTTAAACCCTTTCTGAATCATTGAAATTCCATGCAGAAAGATCATACAAATAATTTTTCTCAGGGCACGATAAAGCTAAAACTGTACCTTCTTTGACAAAATTCAATGATGACAGTTTTGTTTTTCATCCACAGGCCTGTACGCTTATCCGTACATTCACTGTCCATGGTATGACGAAGGTAACACGGATTGGCGACTTCTCCTCCTGTTCGGTTTCCTCCTTTTTTTGGGAGAGAAACTCTCCACCGACGGCACGAATCTGCTGAACGATGTAGCGAAGACTACCGCAACCATTTTGATCCCAAATCCACTACCCATTATTTTACCTCTACCGATTATTGTTAGCTGAATAAAAATATCTGAAGATAGTTATATTCTTTGTGTTGATAATGTCAAAAGCCTTTTGCAGATTCCAGGTCAAAATCAAAGGTAAAAATGAGATTTTCTGTTCAAAATGTGTCTGTCTCTTACAAGTCTGTTTGTTCGCTATCAATATATTCGACACACTCCCTTGAATCCATGACTAGAATTCAACTAACGTTTGCATAAGGCATCCTTGGATATTCCAATATATGTAGAAAATAAAAACAGACAGACTTTCATATAGAACGGCAGGTCATCACATGCTAGTATTTAAATTTTTAATAAGAAAGCATCCCTATGTAACGCATAACTAGATAACTAACTAGTTATAACTAAATAATAATCGTTATAACGAAATAATCAACTCGTTATAACGAGTAACTCACTGTAACGAGATAAATAACTCATTATAACGAGATAATTACCTCGTTATAACGAGATAATTACGTCGTTATAACGAGTAAAATAACAAATATCACAGGAAACAGAGATACACTCGTGTTTTTTACATATAGTTGTAGAGTGAGATGGTATTCTTAACGGATTAATTAATTGGGTTCGGGTTGGGATTTGGTTGGGGGTTTGGAGAAGGAGGGTTTGGACTGCCATTATCAGTAATATTTGAAAAGGGGTTTATGGAACCACTGCTATTAAACATCCACCGGAACGACAAAAGTAACAAAAGCAGGACGAGCAAGGCCAGTTTTCTCCTCTTTTCCCCATCTTTATTGCACAACTGGACCCTCTGCAGACCGATAGTGACGTAAACACCATCTGAATTCTGAGAACCTGCAGAAAATTATAAAGACTTCTTTAAGACAACAGCTCTTCGATTAATCTCGACTACTACAAGGTCACTTTACATTAAATTGAAGGAAAGAATAAATTATAATACATAATTGATTCTGCAAAAATGTATCTGAGTATTATAATAGTTAAACACAATTCAGATTCAAATTGCGTAACTACTATTTCCCATCTTCTTAAATAGATAAATCTGACAAAGATTACAATGTATATAATTTAATAAAGGCGTGTTATTAAGTAACTAAAGAAACAGGGAAAAAATACTTACATAAGTTACTTAGATATTCTCTCAATAGAATATTACTGACGGGATCCCTAGCTGCCTGTTGGTACAGGTTTCCATTAGGATAACTGTTCAATAATTGCTGAAAACTTTTATGAACAAAAACCCCAAAGGTCAGGAACAGCAGTAGTAATCTTGTTCGTACCATTTAACTGAAAGATTACGATAAAATACTATACAAATCACCCTAGCTTCGTTTTGTGTGCATTGTCCAACAGTGTCTTGCAAATAAGCCTCTTTAAGAGTGACAGAAATCTTTTTTGCCAACTCGGCACGGGTGTTATGGAAGTTACCGCAAGTTGAACAACTTAAGGAGATAGGTGTCATTTTTTCTCACTTATTTCCTTTCAACTATACCCTATTTGTCAATCATAAAAATCTGGCTTTTATCTGTCGTGTATTACCTTTCCTACTATCTGGGATCCCGAAAACCAAGATTTTGATTAATGTACATGTATATAGGATTGCGATCATATGTAGAGTTATACATTGCACACAAACAGATAATTTGGGATTGGTGAAGGCTAACTTTTAAAGGAAAAGTGACTAGTATCCAATTTTGATTGAAGCTAAGTTCCACACAGAATTCAATTACTACTATGCACGAAAGCCTATAAGGATCAAACTACAGGGAAAAATACTGAAGGTTGTTATAACGCAAAATGAAAAAAGCGCAATAACGCGAAAAAGGGCGTTGAACCTTTCAAAATGCATGATAATGCGAAATGAAAAAGCGTTATTGTGTCTTCAAAAAGCGTAAAAAATGCGACGTACGTGGTGGGGGTTGTTTTGTTATTTCTTGTGAATAGGGTAAGGGTAGGTTAAAAATTGGAGAAATAAAGTTTTTTTAACTTCAAGAAGCTTTGGTGGTAAAGGAGCCAGGGAGACTGTTGTAGATAAGTTTAAATTCATAAAGCTTTCAAAACTTTTAATGTCACAGTTACATTACACATTATGTTCTATCCTACAGCGACTATTAGAAATGAAGCTCTTCATTGATTTCTAAAACTTTTCTCCAAGAAAGAACATCATAGTAAAGCCAGCACCAGTTTCATATACGGTGGAATCATTTTTATTCGTGGAGGCCAATGTTCGTGAGCAATCAAAAATTTACTTTTTTGTGGGGACGTAATTTTTGCGTAACCGTATAAATAGAAGATTGTTGACAAAGTTATAGATAATTAGAATGTAAATTCATGGGTAAGGGTGGCTCATGATCATTGATTCCCAACTATTAATTATGAAGATTCTATAGTAATTGCTCACCTGAGTGTAATAGCCCCCCCCCCCCCCCAAAAAAAAAATTAAAATAATAATGAAAAAAAAATAGGGAGAAATTAGAAACCTTTAGAATATAATGGACAAAGAGGAAGATTGTACATACCAAGAGTTACATGATTTAATTCTTTGTAATTTATAGGCTAAAGCTCACATGGTGTGTTGCATGTGCTTTATACATACATGTCATCGAATAAAACACTGTCAAAATACATGTAAATGAAAATTAAAATGTTAAGGTTTTGAATCTTTCTATACAAATTGCACTTTATTTTAAGACAGTACTCTGTGGTCCGGTTAGGGCAAAAAAGTTAATCGTTTAAATTCGAATAAAAGTGTTACTAGTTAGAATTCAATCAAAATTTGTAAAGCAATTACCTTTTGCTAAAGATGAAAGTTCACATTTCCACTGGAGATGTTTTGCAACAATTGCTTATTTTTTAATCATGCGCCATAAAATGCACACGATTGTGTCATAATGATATTGGCACAAAGCGCAGTTAATCATTAGTATTTGTGACTTTTACGTTCGAAATAAAAGTTTGTCACTCCCTGCAACTGCGTAAAAGAATTCCTGCAGACATAAATTACATGATATTTGACCAAGTGACGATGCAAAGTCTCTTAGCAACCATTTCGCAATATTACGACAACAACATAAATTAATGTCAATTGCAGAAATGGACGCAATAAATCTGTAGTACATGTTTTACTTGTACATAGTTTTAACAGTGCTTGTTTTTCTATTTATAGCTTCATTTGAGAGAGAGAGAGAGAGAGAGAGAGAGAGAGAGAGAGAGAATGAGAGAGATCGATCAATGGAGTATATTAATTTTTGCACTTTTAGTCCCTTTTAGCCTAGGTCCTCCCACCCCCGAAACAAACAAATGTATGCTTTCTTTGTATGGATATAACTTTACACCACAAAATATTCAATAAATTTAGCAATTCATAAGAAACACAAAGTATTCAATAAATTTAGCAATATATAATAAACACACATTCTTTGAAACCAACTTTCTGAATTTTCGTCCATGTGTATTGGGATTAAGACTGGAGGGTTGAGATGTTTTGTTGAGCTTGGCGACAATGAGTTGAGAAGGGATTATCCGGCGGGTGTGACCGGTGGGGTAGTAGTTGGCACGACCGGTGGGGTGGTAGTTGGTACGACCGGTGGGGTCGTGGTTGGTACGACCGGTGGGGTCGTGGTTGGTATAACTGGTTGGGAAGTGGTGGTTATGACGGGCTCAGGTCCCGGAATTATTTCATCAACAATTTTTAACATTAGATCTCTTGTTGGCTTAAATAAAAGAGCCAGTAGAAACAGAATAAGTCCTCGGTTGTCCTTCTCCTTACACAATGGGATTACGTCAAATCCAATATAGAGATACACTTCATTGTCATAAACTTTACCTGTAAAATAAAACATGCAAAATTTATTTTAAGGAATAGTGACCCCCCCCCCCCCAAAAAAAATGTGTATTTATCTCACTTTTCACGCTAAGCTTTTTTTTTTTCAAGTTGTAATTTTTTTTGGAGGGGGGGTAATTTTTTTCTTTTAAAAAAATCAAACTAGTACTTACATAATGATTTGATGTATTCCTCGACTAATTTTCCATGAATCTCATCGTTACTATCCAGGTAAATGTTCTCTGTTGAAATGAATTCTGGTAGTTGTGTTCTCACCCAAATCACAAGGAGTCCAAACACCAGCAGAAACATGAAGAGGTATTTCATTTTAAGCCTATATACACTGAAACGACAGACGCTATCGACTGTAAATATACACCGTATCTCTTGTGGTGGTTAAGGTTCATTGACCTTCGGATAAGAAAGGTAACTCTCACTAGAACAAATGACAATAATTCCTTTACAAAAATTGTCATGTCAAAATGACATTTCTGTAAAATTTTGTCCTGCTTGGTATGCTGAAATTATGTGCATTTTAAAGTATAATCATTAGCGTTAGAGCATACCGGTATTTTTATGAGTGAACAGAAGGACGACAAATCTTAAAAAAGTTACTATCTATATAATATGCTTTAACTGTTTAAATATTTTCAAAAGACTTCTTCTAAATTGATAACGACACAATCCCAATAATAATCTTAAAAATATTGGTACTTACCTAAGGGGTAAACATTTCAGTCGTCAATTTCAGTACTAAATAGGAATGTCCATTTCTAAGTCATTTTCGTGTTACCAAAATAAAAAAAAATCCCCTATATAATAGATCCTTCACGACAAATTTATTCCTTCTCTTGCATATTTACTAAGGGTGCTTTACCGAAGGCTGAAAACCTACTCAGAGGCGAGAAACGGAAGTAATGTTGCGTGTTGTTACATAGCTAACATGTGCGTGAAGCAGTATTACGGCTAGCCGCAGGCCTCTAGATCGTCGACTTTATTGAGCTATATATTATTGGTAGCTCAAATATAACTGGTTATTCCATTCATTTTTTTTTCCACTCGTTAAATTTAAGTTAAATATAAAGCAAAAATCATTCAAGTAATTACGAATATGATTTATTGTGCTTTTTTTGTTTCAGGAAACTGCAAACTTTTCGGGTGCGTATCATTACCGCTACATTTTCAAAATTGTTATTATCGCTACATACTCATTACCGCTAAAAAAAGGTTACATTACCGCTACATTTAAAAGTATACAATACCGGTACATTGCCTCTTTCGTTAGCCAGCGGATTATAAATGCATGTACAGATTGATTTTGATTTAAAGTATAACATATACATGTACATGTACATGCATAGGATCTGTTTCCCCTACTAACCACGGGGAGGTGAAAGAGATTTTTTTGAAAGTGTTAAAACCAAGCATTTTTCATGGATAAAACATATATTTTACATAATTGGTAGACCTTTGAAGGCCATTTGCTTAACGTACTGCTGTCTGGAAATCTCTCATATGAATTATAATGAACAGAACATAGTAGTATTCCGTGCCATTGCTAGCTGATTTGATATGTAGCGGTAATGAGTTGTAATCGGCAATAGTCTTGTTGATAAAATGTAGCGGTAATGATTACCCGAAATTTCGAAGAAATGTAGCGGTAATGAGTCGAAATTTTTCGCAACGTAGCGGTAATATTGACCTCCCAACTATTCCCCATCGTGTATTCGTTGTTTTATTCATCTGTGTACAGAATAAATTTACTATAATGTAAATAAAAAAGAATCTGCAAATTTGACAAGTTTATTGCTGTGTAAGCTTTAGCAAAGGAACAAAAGCATGAAACCACATGTACTTTATAATGCGAGTTCTCAAATGTCTTGAAATGAAATAAAAGAGTGGTTTATACAAATCAAAGTAAATTTAGTACACATCTAAATTAATTTTTTTTTTTGTTTGAGGAGGATGGTAAATTGGACTATCAAAAGAAATACAGAAGATTCGTAAATACGTTAAAAATAATAAAATAAAATTAAATTGAAAAAAATAATAATAATAAAAAATCGAAGGAATTTTTATCGCTTTATTTCGCGAGAAACACCACTAGCGAAATAAATTTACTCGGTTCCATTTGTATATTGCTGAAAGTGATGTAGAATCTCTGGATCAACTACCCATTCGTAACTTCAAGTTCTCACGATTCTTTTGAAAATACGACGTACTCTCTTAAAATAAGGAATATACAGTAAGCGCTGGATAATTTAATTTTTGATTAAGTTTAATAAAAATGATGATATCAATGATGTTTTTATAACGCAAAACTTAAATCTTCACAGGTATTTTTTAGGGGGGAGTGGGGATGTCACAACAAGGGGGAACTGAAATTTGACTTTTAGATTTTATGTTGATCAGTAAAATATTTTCAAAACAACAGTAAATGTGGTTAAAGGATCAATTTGACAAAACAAGAGACAGAGATCAATAGAAAAATTTATTGAACCGAAATAAATGACATCCAAAAGCAAATTTAAAAAAATCCAAGGACCCATTTTACAAAAGAACTTACGACTACGACCAAATGAACTTTTACGATTTATTTCATTTTTTACGTTGATTAAATTGTAATTCTATTGAATAAGAGAATAAGAAGAAAACAGTTATGTAATAGAACTATGTAAAAATTTTAGACTAGTGTAAACAAGTCTTAGTCTAAGTTCTTTGTACTGCAGGCCCAGGGAAGTTCTCGATAAAAAAAATAGCATTTTATGATCCAAAATCAAAATCCAGGATTGCTATCTTTTTAAGATAGACAAATTGAATATGGTCTGTACAGACCTTTGCTTGTCTTCCAGCAATTAAGTGATCCTTTTTATAAGGTCGAAAACGGCATGATTTAGCCGGCTGGGGTAACAGGGGGTGGTATTGGAGGGGTAGGCGTGGTCGTAACAGGACCTGGGAGTAGGTCGTCGATAATATTTATCAAAGTGGTTCTCGCTGGCTTGTAGCAAATGAAAAGCAACAACAGTAAAGGCAGCCAACTTTTCTTCCTTTGTTCACACAAGGGAATCATTTCAAAGCCGACATTTAGGTGAATTTGGTTGCTGCTCAACGTACCTGTTTCAAAGAAGATAAAATACTAAATGTGAATAATAACAAAATGTTGACATATCGATAGGTAAATATCGATGCGTTTTATTATTTATTTTGTCAAATTTAGGTGGTTTATATTTCAACTTACCTGTTTCAAAGAAGATAAAATACTAAATGTGAATGTTAACAAAATGTTGACTATTCAATAGGTAATATCAATGCGTTTTATTTTTTAATTCTGTCAAACTTAAGGACATATGCAACGTATACGTAGTTTGAACATTATTGTCTTTTCCCCTGGAGTTGAAGAGTTCCAATACTTGAAGGATCTGTGTGCTACTCTTTAAATGTCTATATATGGTGCTGTACACCTCTTTAAAACAAATTTGGATGAAAAAACATATAGAATATATGTTTAGTAATTTTTGTGTAATACAAGAGTTTTCATCATTTAATATCTATTCAAAACCCCTGGTAATGCATGCTGATTTTTAGTCTGCGAACATCTAATGGTATTATAATTTTGAATGTAGAATATCTTAAAAAAATCATCAGTGTAGTTAAGGTACGTTGAGTATGTCCTTAAGGTAGAACCTATGTCGGAAAAGTCTTTGTCACAAGATTTTCAAACTTTCCAAAATGATAACTTAGCTCTCGCTTATCAATCATTTAAAAATATATGGTATGTTTCTTTGTTATTAAATGTAGTGCAGTCTGTGCAACTTGGAAAGATAATTTTACACAGCGACGACATATTTTCAGCCATTTTTAAGGGTACTGGTCATAAAGAGAATATAATAAATCACTAAAATACTTCTTCAAACATCGTCGTTTATACACTTTATTAACTGAACCATATTTAGCAATATTATTCAAGAATAAATTCTTTTTTATTCAATTGACATAAAAAATTAAGTCCACATTTCAACAAATATAGGCAAATGTGCTCAATATTTTTTGAGTCAATTTACCACCTAAATTTGTAAATATTTTTCAAAAGTCTTTGTCAGAATGTTTTCAATCTTTAATATGATGAAGAACATACCCAAATAATTACAAAAAGTGATTAAAATATATACCTTTCCCCGCAGACGAATGAGAACACTCTATTTATCCATACTTCTTTTGTTGACCTTTTTGCACTTACACAGGATTTAATTATTAAATTACTGTTTTTGGGTTACGTTCAGATTTACAATGTGAAAATTTATCAAAAAAAAATTTTCTTTTTATTTAAAAAGATAATATTTTAGGGAAACATTATTATTATACACCAACCATTATGAATAATTAACAAATAATTATGAAAGGGAATGCACGTCATTTCATGATAGACATTACAAAATTTACACACAATTTTTAACAGATCTTTGACTCAGACACTTTTCATCAAGATATTGTACTATTTAGATTTCTTAGGATTTTTGATTTCCTTCGAAATAGTTGCATGTCATTCACATTATCACAGATGTGTAACTTCATTACATGAAGTACGGGAAAAAGTAACATTAAATTAATTATGACGTCATAATGGATCTAGCACCAAAAAGACAGTCTAAACTCATTTTCTCAGTATGACGTCATACGACGTAGGTTCTACGTTAAGTGTTATTTAAGAAATAATGTATCATTTTTAAACATCTATCGGGATATAAATACGGGTTGGTCACGAGATCAAATTCCATAAAGCCCGAAGGGCTTTATGGTAAATTTGATCTCGTACCAACCCGTATTTATATCCCGATAGATGTTTAAAAATGATACATTATTACTTATATTTACATTTATGACTTATTCATATTTTATGTTTTCCTGATTATAATCTTTAACGCGTGTAATGTTTTATTTTTCAAACTCAACGGCACGTATTTGATCCATTGATTGCGCGTAGACCCTTTATGACGTCACTGAGAAATTACGTCGAACGTTTATGACGCGAGGAACCCGTGTTTATACGGATATAGATACGCGTTGCTTTAAATAGTGTTATATAAAAGAAAACGTTTGCAAATGTAAATATATATAAATATATGAAGAACATCCCACCCCTCAGACAGAAGCATTTACTGGAAAAAATCCCATACACATGAAGATAAGAAATGCAATCACATATGAAAAATGGAATTTAATGAAAATATATTACGCATATATATGTGCAGAATTAGCAGAAAATCGGATGACCTTTACTTACATAAAAATTCGATGTATTCCAGATATAGAATGGAGTGCGTGGGGTTCAAGGGTTCGGTCATTAGGTATAAGTTTTGTTCCAGTTCATTGTAAGTTGATTGTTGTTGAGAGGCATGAATCAACATTGGAACCAACAAAACCAGGGGCAGAATTTTCATTGCTGTCCATGAGAGAACTTCTTCAACTGTTGGTACAAAAATCACGTGATTGCCAAACTATAAACATCAGTTTTATATACATGTATTTATTTTTCGGTTTGTTAAGCGCTTTTCCTTATATCATGCTTATTTGAACAGAAGCAAAAACAATTTCATTTTATCAAGGAAAAACAAAACCCAAAATTCCCTAGAAATTCAAGAGTCATACCTGAATGTTTATTTCTCTCTCTCTCAGAAAGACAGCTATGATGCACTTCAAAAGTAGACAAAGTGTTAATCCATTGTGTATTTAAAATATTAAGAGTCCAGTTAAATTCACCATACACCTCTTTGCTCATAAGACAAATAATTAAATGTTTTATAGAACCTACAAAAAGTTGGCGCTCTGTGATGGGTGAACAACCCTCACGATCAGCAGGCAATGGATATTGTTGCATCATCAATGTTGGCGTCCTTTGATCATTATGATTGCCACTCATTTATTATAAATTGGGAACCACTTTAGACTTACACCAGTATATATGCATGCATGTGTATATATTTTCATCTTTACCCATTTATCTAGACGGATATTACACATATACTTGTTGCATTATTTTTTTTTATATTCCACACTTAATTGTATTCAGACGCCCCAGATGTCATAATTATGTGTCTTCATGATGTATTGCTTATAGCCACACACAGTTTTCATTCAATGAAGACTAGACTCAACTGTGTAGCTCTATTTTCGACCTTATAGCTGTAACTTAGTCCATCTATTAAATGGAGAAATATAACTGTTTATTAAACATTTAACCTTTATAATTATCACACAAAGATGTGTGTTGTAAGAACCCTAAACATTATTTGCAGCATTGTTTATTGGCATTCCATTTATATATAGTGAAGAAACCAAAAAATAGATGACCCAAGAAGGTTATCTCTCTCTCTCTCTCTCTCTAGTTTTTGGATTGTCTGTTTGTCCGAAAAATTTAACATTGTCCATAACTGTCAGACTGGTTGGAGCTAGGGCTTTCATATTTTACATGTATATATTCCTTATGACAAGACCTTTCAGGGTTCGAAATAATTGATGGCCCGCTGGTCTAGGGCCAGTGAATTTTCAGTCTGGGCTAGTACATTGCAGAAGGCATGTGCCCTTTGGGTCAGCATTTTTTTATGCATAATAAAATTCATTCACAGTCGGGTTAGTTAACTTGACAGGGTTGTGTGTCCCAACTTCTGCTGCTTCTTCTTTTGTTAAATTGTACTTCTAAGTATCACAATATAAAAAATATTACTATTATTATTATGGTTTTGGGCCAGTCTTTTTCAAATCTACTGGCCCAGTGGGACAGTGAAAGTACTAAGCTGACCAGTAAACATTTAAGGTGATAACCCGAGTGACCGGTAAACAAAAATAATTATTTCTAGCCCTGCCTTTCTTGGGTACCAATTAACGTATTTGACCTTTTAGACTTTGACCTTAGAGTTTGACCCACTTTTGGAAAAAAAAAATTTTACTTGGTCATAACTTTTAAACCGATGGTGCTAGGACCTATACTTCACATGTGTATTCATTATAACAAGTCCTTCCCTTGGGTACCAACATTTTGGCCTTTTTGACGTTGACCTTTTAATATCAGAGAGTGTGAATTTTTACAAAAGGCTAGTTTTAGGTTATATTTTGGAATTTTCAGGTGTAACACTTTGCGAATATGTCATAGAAAATATCTTATTTAAAAAATGTCAAAGAACCCTTGGAGTACGGAATAAGGGGGGGGGGGTCCCAAGCACCTTTGCTTTCCGTTGGAAAAAAAAATGACTTGGACTAAGTCACACACAAGAAAACAAATTTAATGTCTTATCCTATGTTTGTGCAATAGATTGTTACATTATAATTTCTAATTATATTTTTTGATTATTATCCTTGAGGATCACTGACTCAAAATCATAATATTTATCATGTCTCTAATTAATAATTGAATTTGTCACATCGGTTCTCTACTGTAGAATATTTACATTCAGTATAATTTTCTTTACGACATCCCAAATAAAGAATTCAATGCTTAATTAAATAAACAATTTCACAAAAAATAGCATTATAATTCTTCGAAAAACGGAATGATTTTTATAACGATGTGGGAATATTTAAAAAAAAAAGTGTATGAAAATCGACTCAAAAATCGTACAAGTTAACAAAAAACTCGATCTCGTACTCACCACGAGAGAAAACGAGAATTGAAAAATGGCTAGCAGAAGTCCCGGAGGATTAGAGTGGTCACTCAGCATAAAACCTTTGCTGATCGCTCCCAATGCCTCCTTAGACGTCGAAATTCTTCCCAAGTTATGTAAATCAATCACACTGAGGTATATTTAGTGTTTGTTAAAGATTTAAAAATAAATAAGAATCAATTTATTATTGATATGGAAATGACTTGCAAATCTTCCTTTTCCGATGTTCGCAAACCAAGGCGGTTGACATTCGTCTTCTACATTTTGAGGGGGAAAATGATAATATAGTACTTAAAAGATGGTATATGAAGAAATTCTAGGTCATATGAATGGCTGAGAATAGATAGCCATACATGACGTAGTATACTTAGTAAGATACTTTACTGACTTTTACAGGTTGGGTCCCAAATGGGATATAATAGCCCGTTTGGGATATAATATCCCAAATGGGATATAAATTTACAGTGCAAAAAATGAAAATTTTTATTTTGGCTATAAATATCATAAATCCACATCAACATACTTATAAAGGAATAACTTTCGGTTTACAAGTTTTTTTGTATGCCCACTGTTTAGGAGATTGATCCCTCGGAAGTTCCTAAACTTCTTGGGGATCAATCTAACAAACTGTACGGTAGCAGAAAAACTTGTATGCCAAAAGTTATTCCTTTTTAAGAATTCTGATGCGGATTTATGATATTTATAGCCAAAACGAAAATTTTCATTTTTTGCACTGATAATTTATATCCCATTTGGGATATTATATCCCAAATGGGCTATTATATCCCCTTTGGGCGATTGGTCCCAACCTGTTTTAACCAGGTCCAGTCCAAAGACTATTTCTACCTACATAGCTATTAATAGCTACTTAGGTATTAAACCTACCCAGAGTAGCTATTTTTACCTACTTTTTGCATTACTTGCATTTTGTGGCCAAACGGCCGACGGCGCAACATGGTAAGTACCAAATTTCTTAATACAGTCACACTGATGAATACAACAAAATTTTGGCCAAAAAATGATTACGTCGTAAATTAACAATTATGCATTAATTACTATGCAAAATTGTTAATTTATGAAGTAATCATTTTTTGACCAAAATTTTGTTGTATTCATCATCAGTGTGACTGTATTAAGAAATTTGGTACTTAACATGTTGCGCCGTTCAGGGCAGGGCATTATAGATATTTGCTGTTATTTGATGTGCTCAGTTAGATGCAATAGTTGGGTTGTGGAAAGAATCTGTTATTGTTTGACCATGCTTATTAAAGGAGTATACTGTCCTGAATCAAAAATTGTGACAGAATGAGTATACTACAAAAAAAACCTGTACCATTTGTTACCAGGGAATTGCCTGCTTTTAATAAGGCTCTCCCATAATGTCCTTAAGAAAGCAAGTCTCTGATTAAGTCAGCTTTAATTTGCTTGTATTTGAATTAAGCTAGATTGTTTAATCTTGAACAAGTTTATTTACATAATGTAAACTTGTTTTCTTATAATCGTTAACATCCTTAGTATGAAATTGTTAAATTTTTTTTAATTTTATCAGTGAAAATGACATTCTTGGTCATGAGGATCAGTATGAACAATTCTACTCATCTTTTGTTGCTCTGGCATCACATCACCTGAGTTCTTGTGCTGGAACAGGTAACAATCCACATTTAAGCCCAAAAAATCTTGAGAAAACCTTTTAGGTAAGTCCTTTATCTTGAATTCAAAATAAATTATGCATACTTTGTTTGAATAGTATCAGGTTCACAGTTAGCAGAGATATCCAGTGCTTGTAGAGTTTTGCTGAAGTATCTTCTGAACAGACTGCAGCATCACAATGATGGATGTGCACTTTCTCAGGTAAAATATAATTACCAGTGACCAACCTAGACCTTTATTCATCTTCACTTGTCCCTCAAAGCAAATTAGGGAGAAGATTAGAAAATCAGGAAGACTTCATATTCCTAGCTAGATAAAAGATCAATATGCAGCATATCTGGTTTTGACCCTTGATTTCTTGAATTTGTAATTTCATAATTTTCTTTATTATATATAGAAAATCTTGATGATGCTAATAAAGACTCTGTGTACTGGAGCATGCAGTCTTGGAAAAGCAGATGTTTTGACATTTTGTGCCATGTTGAGATCCTCACATGCACCTCCAAACATAAGAGAAGTGGAAACAGGTACGCTTTCTTAAGTTACTTTCATTTCTGAAGAAGTGATTTTCTTGCACTGTATGTGAATATTGAGTTTCTTTGAAGTAGGTTAATTTTTTCCTGCATTTTGAACATAAAATTTAGTATATAGCAACTGTTACATAAATTTTCTCTCTCAAACATGTCAGTTCTAGTAGGAAAATAAAAATTAATACATTTTAACTGGGTAAAGCAAATCATAATTAGTTTAAATCTATACAGAAGAAGAGCCAGTCTCAAGAGAGTTGGCTCGCCCCAGACTTGACACAGGAACAGATATATTTGACCAGCTGACCTCGGCCTTTGGAGAACTGAGTGTTGGCACACCTACCAAATTGGACCAGACTATAGAGGCTGTAGCAGCAGAAGGAGATCTTACCATACACAGTCCTGGAACACCATCAGAAGAAATCAAAACAGCATTTGCCAAAAGAAACATTGCTAATCTTCTCCAGTTGGATGGATCAAACATTCTTGTTGATGTCTGCACTAAATTGACATTTTTGGAGAAATACTCACAGAGATGTAAAGATGCTCTCAATGGTGCAGCTTTTGTGATGCCCTGTACATTGTCAGAAGCTCTGACTACAAGAAACAGGTATTAGAGGGAAAATAGTTCTGTATAGGGTTTAGAGCAGTTTAAATGTTAGCTTAAAGTGCTGAATTTAAAAAAATCTAGGGAGTTGTTTGGAAAAAAAGACAAAATTATCAGAAATAAACTTTATTCATGTCACTGAAGTATGTTACTGTGGTATTTTTTCTGTACTGATAATAAACATGCATTTTCTTTTTAAACAATATTTAATGCGGTATGATATTTTCACAGTTACCAGTTCCTTCTGAATGAAATATCCATCATTTGGAGAGCCTTTTCTCTGCCTGTATTAGAGCCATTGACTCCACAGAGACTAGAGAAGATCATATCTGTAACTTTGACCTGTTTATACACATCGGTGACAGTGGCCATGTCCAATACTGTGGTCAGCTTGGCCAGTCCACAACCAGCCAAACCCAGCACCACCAAGGATGAAGAAACTGATAGTTATGGAAACAGCATTGTACAGAAATCTGTAAGTGACTTTACTTTTATTTCAAGCATCCAAAAGACTTTGGTATTTGAGAAAGCGAATTTTTATAGCTGATAAAGTTAGACATTCTTATTTTCAAAAGAACAAAGTACAACTTCATATTATTACTTTTCAGCTTGAAATATTCAATGCCATGTCACATGCCATAAAGAATTCTACAAGAGCAGGAGGAAATGTAAGTCAATTTATTATCTTCAGTCTTCACATACATGTAGAAGAAACTTTAAATGATTCTATACAGATTGTAAGTATAGAATCTATACTTACAATCTGTATAGAATCATTTAAAGTTATATCTGTACTATAGATTATGTTTCAGTTGTGGTACATTGTAATAAATTGTTTTGGTTTCAGGTGACTCAGAACATGAACTGCCTGTCTGCCTGGCTGATTCTTAATGGGATGCAGCAGGTCCTAGCTCTCACACCAGCAACAATATTGGAGAGAAAAGACTCCAACAAAGGAAAGGGGTCTGATAGCAGTCAGAAATCAAGGGACAGCATGGGGAGCAAATTTTCCAGTGGAAAAAGGTAGAAATGCAGTGGGTTTTTTTTGTATCCATCTAAAGAATTACCTGAGAAGTTGACCTAATGTTTTCTTTTTGTCAGACTTAATATTTGGAAAATAATTTTAGCATACAATTTTATGTCAAAGAAAATTAATGAAAAAGGACAGAGTAAATATGTACATTCTTTGCAGCACATCACAAGGATTTGGAGTCCTCTCAGTAGCTCTGTGTTCAAAAGCTATTCAGTTGCTGAAGGAATTGCTGGATGATTTACAGATAGAAGGATTTCTCTCAGACTCTGTAAGACTTACATTTCTGAAGTGAAAGTATTTCAGATTTAACTAAATACCAAAATACTGGATTTTGTTAGAATCAAGTCTAAAAGTGAACAAATTTTAATTTACAGGGGGATAAAAGACCAGGAGCAAACAGAATGTTCATCCCTGTAACTGCTCATATGTCTGCAAGTTCACGAGTCAACAAGCTCATGACAAACATACCTATCACAGATCTCCTCTTCAATCTGATTATAACAGCATTCAGAAAGGCAGGTTTATCTAAATATTTTCAAAGAGTGAGAAAGATTTTGAATGGCACAGCTTTATACTCTCATATTGAGTATTTCTAATAGAATGAATTGGATGCTCAGAGAATTCTCTAATCCATGAACAAGAGTAAAATGATAGTTCTATCATTACTTTTGTTGTATCATGCTGATACATACATGTAACTCAAAGCTCTTGATAACAGTATTACAATTATCATTTAGGCTTCACTGTTAAAGAGGATTAAACAAGGGTCAGATGCTTCAGAGACAAGTAGCAGCAGTGCTTCTGATTCCAATACATTCTATGAGGATGACCTTAGCAGCTCTGAATACAGCACAGATGAGGATGAAGACTCCGAGCCCCTCCTAGGACAATGGTTGGAGGACACACTGTCCCCTCTTGACTCTGTAGACATACTTACTCCTCCTCCTGTACCTGCCCGATCTGATGCACAAGGGGAGACTAAACGGTCAAGAAAAATCAGCACAGAGGATCAGTCAACACTGATTCCAGACAGAAAGGCTCCACAAGGGGTTAGTTTGTATGAGAATGACAAACTACACAAGTTGTAAGAAGCTATCCGTTTGCTTATGTACAGTATAGTTCAAAAGTAAAAACTGCAAGGAATGTAAAATCTTTCAGTAAATGTTTGATTTTTCATGTTTTTAATCTTAATTGTTATAGTTTGTGAACTTGGCCTCTGAGATACTGAATTTCCTAAGTGCATACTTTGTCAACACCCCAGACATGGAACTACAAAAATTAATTAAATCAACACTTAACGAAGAACACATGTCCAACCTGGCTATTCTTATCAAAGAGCTGGATAAAGACTGTCTCAGAGTTAACAATGGTGAGGCTGATTTACATGTGACATCTTTTGATATCTTTGAAGTGTCACAAAAATAATATTCTAAGGAAGATTTATAATAAAGAGTCTGTTTATTTTTAGGGAAAACATTTGACAGTTTGTCAATGGCTTTGGCAAAGTTCAACCATAGCCTTATTTCAACTGGAGTTCTTTCTGAAAATTTACAGGTAATGAATTGGCATGTAAAATATTTAGCTGTTAAAGCAGTGCACAACACAGAATTAACTACTGTAACTATTAAAGTATTTTAACAATAACATAAATGATTTGCATTGTATTTACCCATTTTCCTCTGAATGTGCTTATTATAACTGATATGTAATATGGGAGGTCTTTCATAGGATTTCCTACTATTGCACCTCGGAGTCAGTCCTCAGGCAGTAGACCACTGGCCGACAACACTGCTGCCTCGAACACTTGCTGTCCTGGCTGAAATCCTCCTCCTGAAACAGCAGAAAGAAAGGGAAGCTAAAGTACTGAAAAGTCAGAGTGAGGCAGCTGTGATCAACATTTGGAACAGATTCATGACAACACTCAAGTCCCTCATGATATATAATGATGGCACAGAAAATTATGAAGGTAAATGTCTGGGTTTTTAAAACGAGTATAAATCATTCATCGATTATTTGGTACTTAAACTTGTAGTACAAGCTTTGCCATCCACACTGAATTACTGATATAAGGCAGCGATTGCATTTACTTATAAATAAGGCAAATAGCTTGGGCGTTTTGACATTGAGAGACATTAAGTACAGTACATTGTAGCACATCTCTGACAATTACTGTCTAAAGTTATGTTGACTGTGCAACATGGTAAGCATACAAGTGTACAAGAAATTAAAAAATATTAAGTTTTAACAATAATGTTTTCTATCTTGTGATAAATTTAATGGACTTAATGTCCCTTACAAAGATTAAGTTATGAAACCTTTGTTATGTCTTACTCATAATTTCAGTTCAGGCAATGAAAGATATGCAGATTTTAATTTCCAGTGTATGAATGTAAACACTTAATTTACAAACACTTTACTAATTTTGCTCCAAAACTACGTGAAAGGCAACAGCACTCATTTGTTATGAATGAAAAAATGATATCTTTTGCAAGATTTAATGCAGATTAATTTTGTTCACTATAATCACTATGATTTATGCATTCCTATTTTTTTTTAAATAGATATCAATGTGGAGCACCTGCAGCTGTTGCTTTTCCTTTTCCACAGTTTGCCATTAATGCAGAAGAAAGCTCTTTTCTTGACACTTGCCCAAAATATTATTGCTGTGGCCAAAATAGACAGCAGGTATGTGTTCAACTGATCTTTAAGCAAATTATGATGATTGTGATTGTGTTTTACTTTTTTGATAGTGAAGGAATGTACAAGTATTTGTTATTTTCCAGTAAACTGTGTGATATGAATCCTTTACCTTTGACAAGAATGCTGCTAGTGTTGGAGTATCTACTTCACTACTTTTATGATCCACCTGCAGAACTTCTGGAACAGGTTGTCAACTATATATTTTTTTTGTAATAAATATTTCTTGCAAATGAATTTACTTATGTCATTTGTGTACAGGTTGTAAAAATAGATCTACCTTATAACAAAGAATTTAATCCAAATTTATTATGGATGAAATGTTTTACAGAATTACATTCATTGGAAGCATGTTATACATATATGTAATGTTTTGTGTTGACTGAAATTAAACTTACATAAGGCCTAAATGTTAAATACAGGTGCGCTGGAATCTGTTTACTGTGTTCACTGTGTCACATGGTGGGGAGAGTGGAAGACATTCCAACACCAAATTCTTCCAATGTAGAGAAGTGGAGGAGAATTATCGCAGAGGATTGGGTACAGTGGATCCCTCAGATTGTAAGTATATTGTAAATAATTACAGTAGATGCAGAGTACCCACAAATACATGTAACTCTGATATCAATATCTTTGTTATATTCCAAATTGTTTCTCATTCCTAAAATTGTAAAATTAAGTGAAAATGTGTCCATAAATATCTTTATTTGCAAAAAACACTGTTGTACTGTTCATATATTGCATGTAATTAGTGTAATATTTGTGTTCTATATTGTAATTTAAGTTCTAGATAATACATATACATGTACATCACTTGTACATTGGATTGTTTAAATTCTTGAATTTAAGGCGACTTGGATTTTTATTAATAAATGAAAACTGAAGTTTTGTGAATTTGTAAATGTTATTTATTAGGTCAAGTTCCAAGGTTTTTTAACTTGGGTCCTGTTGATATCAACTTACAAGAGGCTCCAAAAATTGATGGACTTGTGAGTAGTTTTAATTGCATTATAAACAAAGATTTTTTTTTTTCTTCATATTTCATTTCTTGGTTCTTTAAGTCAACTTTTAGCTGATGAAAACATTTTGTTGTAGGCTTGCAGTTTCCTTCTGTCCAATGCTGATGTGATGGACTACAACACTCTGTATGATGCCTGTATAACATTACTGACTGCAGGAAGTAATTGTGACAAAAATCAAACAAAGATTTCCCTGCTGGTGAGAACTCTAATGATTCTGATAAATATACATGTATGTAAAAGGATTTTGAATCTATTATACGTTTGTACCAGTATTGAATTTATCATGAGAACATAGCATATATGTATTTTGCATACTCTGTAGGACACCTCTGCCATGCATTACCACTTTCTGATTAACTGGAGACTGTTGGCTTGTTTACCACCTTCCGTGCAGTACCTACAGATGCTGGAGAATGCTATCTCACACATGGACAATAGCTACCTGCTGCATACCTTGCGATGGGCCCCTCGTCTGTCTCATAAAGTCTACACCAGCTGGATGAAGGTTGGTCATTTTTAGTTCCAAAATGATCTGTTGTGCTTGTAACAGATTTATCATTATGGAAGATTAATTGGGTTAACTGTTACTATTGAAAATATCATTAATGTAAGAATAAGGGGTCCTTTTGAATATGTTGTATTAAGATTGATTTTCCTTGTATGTAACCATTATTACATGTGTATTTTGTCTGAGGTAGAAAATATAATAACACTACTAGTATCTCATTTTTCCTTGCAGGATTGCTTGGTCAAACAAGGATTGACCACCCAAGATGCAGATACACTGGTTAATGGAGCCAACACATGCTCAAACAATGTAGCATTTGATGTCCGTCTTGCAATGAAGTTTCTAAAGGAACAAGTAAACAAATTTTATGCTAGTCATTTATATAAAGAAATGCTGCCAGTTGTATTTGGTGAAGTAATTATCATTTCTTCAGCTTGTTAAAGTTTGTTTTCTGTTTGGTCATTTCAGATAAACAACTTGCCCACCTTTAGTCCAAGAGAGGTCTTGCCTATAACGAGTCTTCCAGGAGTGTATGACATTTTGATACTGGACTCAGTGGTTGCCAAGATACAGCTCAGTCTGGAAAACACTTACACCAAAGCCATGGCTGACATAGACCCAACAAAAGCCATGGAAGTTGCCCAGGAACTTGATACTCCTATACTGAAGCTTATAGAGGCTTATACTGTCTTTGCTAGGTAGAGTTTCAGTTGTTTATACATGTAGGTTAAAAGCATACATTTCTCTTTGCATGTATGAGATACTGTGAACATCTTTCTTTGAAAGTTGAGTTGTCTTTAATCTAAATAATTTATCCCTCATCCCAACTACAGTATAGAATTTCTGTATTTAAAACTGTAGATGCACGTATAAGAAAAGGTAAGTAATCAAGATCTTAATCCTGTAGTGTGTAAATTAGTAGATGTACATGACATTATATTTCAATTTGTAGATCCTGCATTCTTGGTCAGCTAAAGCAGACAGATGACACAGACCAGGAAATCACAACTGAACAGCTAGAAACCTTTGGAGTCATCATGAGCATTGGCTCAAGTCGTCCCTCCAAAGTATCAGTTCTGGCTACAGAGCTCATGTCCACCCTGCCTAGGTCTGTGACTGGAGCACTCGAACAATGGACAAATGATTCCAAAAACAACTTCCCCAGTCCTGGGGCATGGGTTAGTCTATCAGAATTTTTCATGTCTTTATAATCATACATGTAGATCATAATGCATTCAAAATTATACTTTTGTCAGTAAAATTATTTTAACTAATGAATTTGAAATCTTTCAAGACTATGTATATACTTTATTACTACAAAGTTTCCTACTGGGTAGTTATGTTCCCCAAACGAAGTTTGGGAACATATTGTTTTTACTCTGTTTCTTATTATTATTATTATTAAGTCTTCCGTTCACAACGGAAGACTTATAGTGATTGTATTGTTTCTTTTTATTATTATTATTATTATTCCTCCCAATTTTGTGAGCGCGATTACTCAGAGATGGTTGGATAGATTTTCACAATTTTTCACATGATAGTAGGCTGATATATGAAGTTTATATAAAATTCCGTTTTTTGAAAAATTCACTTCCGGTCCGAAGTTACGGCCGAATTTCCACTTTTTAAATGCACTTTTGTCCGGAATTTTTCTCGGAAACGGTTTGAGGTAAAGATGTGAAATTTACAGGAGTATTAGATCATGACATTCTCTTTGTTTCGAAGTTGTTTTCGTGTGTTTCCGGTACTTCCTGTCCGAACCGGAAGTGAACTTGTGTTTGGTCAATTTTCAACTTTTTTGTTTTTTAATATTTTTTCAAGATATTATTATGTATAACAGAGGTTATTCTACAAATATTAAATATATAATTTGTTTTGAAATCAGATTCCACATTTTGCAGATTTTCGGTACCCTCATTTTCCCTATTTACCTAGTGTGTAAACAATGGGCAAAGAAAGATAACTCTGACTTGTAATTGAAAATAGAACTTTCGAGATAAAGGCGGAAATAGTATCGATGACGTCAGAGACATATACACTCTCCATATCAAAATATTTAGACGTTCCATATTCACTCTTCTAAATATAAGAGTATGTTGGTTACCACTTCCAATGCATGTATAGTTTAAAGTTGCCAGTGTAGTGTAAGTCTGTATTGACATTTAATTTATTTACACATGAATATATCTAAAAAAAAAAATTAATATATATGCTAGGTACCTAATTCAAGTAAATATATTATAAGCACTGAATATACATTTATAGTGATGGACAGGAATGCAGTTTTATCTATCTCGTATAGTAAGTTCAGAATACGATAGTTATAAGCCTTCTATAATGCAGACGATTTATTATTCTCTATGATTTGAATGCGAAATTATCCCGATTTCCGAGTTTTATTTTCGATATTAAAAAAAATATTACATACACTCAAAAAGGAATTGAGCGATAGAAAATTGTAATACAGTACTGTTTTAAAGCCTTTATAAATAAATTGATATCTGCCACTTAAAAGAAAGAAAATCAATCTGTAGATTAGATTTTGTTATTACATGTAAATTTGATAAAAAGTTAAATTATTTATGACACATGATCTATATTCTATATACCCAAGGAATTATAAAAGATGTGAAAAGACGATTCTTGGGCATGGATTCTTGTGAAATACTCAAAGAGTTAAAAAAAAATATGTGAAAACGCGATTCTGTGTGAAATAATGGTACGCTATATGTTTCTTTTGAAAAAAAAAAACATGAAAAAAAATTGCACAGGTCTGTTGATATGTGGGATAAGTATACCTGAATGAACACAATTTTATGCAATGATATATAATTATGTACATGCAACTGACGTCCGTACTTTTCCTTATAATTCATAAAACATAAAACTATCTAATTCCTTTGAAGACTCCCCACCCCCCACCCCCACCCCACCCCTGTCTTGTTAATATTTGGAGACGTTCGTGCAGCTAGGCATTTGAATTATATATTCGTTTTAGATTTAAATCTGTAACATGTGAATATAATTACCATTTACATGTATACAGAATTTCATGTTCTATAATGGTAGATTTGTCATTATGAAATGTTCAATTTACGTCTGAGAGAGAGAGAGGGGGGGAGAGAGAGATTCCCTCTTAATCCCGATCCTCCTATCCATTTACATAGAGCAAAAATTAGTTCTATATCGGTCACACCCATTCTTAATTAAATGTTTTCTGATTTCATAGTCAGTCATGGTCACATCCTGTATATTTGTCAGCTTAAAAAGTATCACACGAAGTGCACCTGTGTTGACCTGTCAATCAAAATCACTTGACGCTGTATGCACTGCAGTTACGTAGCCTGAGTTCGAAATGATCTTGAAGTATGATCTTAAGTAAATCTGATGCAACAAACTTGTGAAAAAATAGAATAAAATAAAAAATAAAATATCTCGGTATTATGAACTTCGATTGTGGGACGTGGAGACCGGTCCTTTGGATGAGATCGTATAAATCGAGGTCCCTTTTTGCAGAAGGTGCTGGCATAAAAAAGATTCCCCTCTGCTCAATTGCGATAAGTGCCAAAGTATGGGACAAAAATTTGCAGTCTCCACCGGCGAGTGGTGTCGTCTCCATGTGAGTGAAAAATTCTGGAGAGGGACGTTAAACAACATACGTATAATCAATCAATCGATTGCTGAAGAATTACTGTAATTGAATAATCTGTCTTATAGGTCTGCTGTCAAATCTTGATATTATAACTTTACAAAACTCAGATACTTTAGGTTAATGTGATACTAACTTAATTCATTATATTTTTTTATAACACCATACACAATTATGCCAAAACATACACACAGTGAAGTTTATGATAGTACGGTGTTCGGCTGTTTGTTTGTCTTAGAAATGATTGCAAACAATTTTTTTTTAATTGCTAATGATATATTACGTATATCTCTTATAGGTGCCAAATGCATTATACAAGATTGATAATGAAAATCAAAGTACCTTAAGTACTGAAAGGACTTTTTTCCAGTTATTTTTTTCTTTCACAGTAAATATGATATGTATGTTTTTTACACAGAAAAAAGCAAATTCTTACAGATTTAGAAGAACGGAAGACTTTTTTGTTGCCATGGCAACAAGAGTCTAGTTAAGGTCTTCCGTCTCCACGGAAGACCTTATAGTGATTCTATTGTTTCTTCTTCTTATTATTATTATTATTCTTTTTTTTTTAGACAAAATTTTGTGCACGCGATTTCTCAAAAACTATTCAATGAATTTCCTTGAAATTTTCAGGGATAAAAGGTCTTTATATGAATTTTATATAAAATTCCGTTTTTTGGTAAATTCGGTTCCAGTGCCAAGTTATGGACAATTTTCTGATTTTAAAATGCAATTTTGTCCGCGAGTGTTCTCAAGAATGGCTTAAGATATTAACTGGAGACTTGTTAGAGATGATAGAACATGATTTTTAGATTGGAGAGGGCACCTTTTCGTTCGTCGTCGGCACTTCCGGTCGCTTACGGAAGTGATCAAAGAAATCGTTAAATTTCAACTTTCTTTTTTTAAATCAATTCTTACATCACATTATTGCATCTCTTTTGTAATTTTGAAATATGTTGGTCCCACCGGAAACAAAAACGTCAACTTCCGGTTATAAGAGAAAAACTACATAATTTGAGTATTTTTCTTTCCCATTAATATCTTTTGTACATAAAGTATATGGAATGAATTTTTAATATGTTATTCAGACAGCAAATGTCTAGAGTAACCTCAAATATCTTTCAAAAACTCACTTCCGGTCGCGTGTTTTTCTGTCCTCAAAATGAGAAGTTGTCTGAGCAAGATCTCGGAAACGGTAAGAGATTAAGACACCAGACTTATATGAGCAACAGACCTTAAGATGTAGCCAAAACCACTTGGGATCAGAGCGTCAGCCGTCACTTCCGGTCGTCACAGGAAGTGATCAAAGAAATCGAAAATTTCATCTTTTCTTTTTTTATTTAAAAATTGCATCACTTTATTGCATCTTTTTCGCAGATTCGAAAGATGTTGGTCCCACCGGAAACAAAAACGACAACTTCCGGTTATAAGAGAAAAACTACAAAATTTGAGTATTTTACTTTCCTATAAATATTCTTTATAGATAATGTATTTGAAATGAATTTTAAATATGTTACTCAGACTGGAAAGGTCTAAAGTAACCTCAAATATCTTTCAAAAATTCATTTCCGGTCGCGTGTTTTTCTGTCCTCAAAATGAAATATTGTCTGAGCGAGATCTCAAAAACAGGTAAAAGATTTAAACACCAAATTTTTATGAGTAGCAGACCTTGAGGAGTAGGCAAAACCATTTTGGTTAAACGCATCCGTCGTAACTTCCGGTCGTCACAGGAAGTGATCAAAGAAATCAAAAATTTTAACTTTTCCTTTTTAAATTAAAGTTTGCATCACTTTGTTGCATCTCTTTCGCTGTTTTGAATTATGTTAGATTCCACCGGAAACAAAAACGTCAACTTCCGGTTTTAGTGAAAAACTACGTTATTTCGATATTAATCTTTCTCATAAATATTGCTTATCGATAAAGTACTTGAAATGTTTTTATGCATTTTGCAGATACTGCAAATGTCTAGAGAAACGTCAGAGATTTTTTTTTTATAAAATTCACTTCCGGTCGCGTGTTTACCTGTCCTCAGAATTAGAATTTGTTCTCACTATATTGTTCGGCAACAGTAAACGACTGAAGTCTAAAACTTTCAGAACTGATAGTCAGTCATCAGTTTATTTGAATCTCGAGGAAATCTTGTATCGCCGTTACTTCCGGTCGTGACAGGAAGTGATGCAAAAAAGTGAATGGTTAATGGTTAGCACGCTGGATTTTCACGCTGACAACCAGGGTTAAATCTCCAGAGTATCTGAATTTCTTTTATCACCTTTTCAGCTTGAATTTACGTTTTTATTTTCAAAATCGGACGGAAGACCTCTCATTGCTCGCAATGAGTTTCTAGTTAAGTCTTCCGTTCACAACGGAAGACTTATAGTGATTGTATTGTTTCTTTTTATTATTATTATTATTATTATTATTATTCCTCCCAAATTTTGTGAGCGCGATTACTCAGAGATGGTTGGATAGATTTTCACAATTTTTCACATGATAGTAGGCTGATATATGAAGTTTATATAAAATTCCGTT